CTCATGGATGCAGTCATAATATGTAGGCCTTGTCTCCCGAAGTTTGGAGCAATAGCCGCAAATAGTACTTTTTGGCACTTCATCGCGACACGTCCAGGTGCCGACAAAGCGGCTTCCCAGCTCACCACCTCGCCTTCTCTGTCGCTCTCCTGGCCCAGGCCCATCAGCAGCAAGTCTGAGCCGTCCCAAACCGCACTTATCTTGGGTGATGAAGCTCACTCTGGCTCATACCACGGCTCTGCAGCCTCACACACGCCCGTTTCAGCCACAGACACCGCCGGCACGCACTCCCACTTCACACACGCTCAAGCACAACCCCATCAAAGCACATCCCTGCTCAGAATGGGCAAGGGCTACCACCTGGTGACCCTGGTAGCCTCTGGCTCGCCACTGCACTCGGCTCCTCTGCAGCGGTCTCGGCTCTCGCCACGACAGCACGCCGACGGCAAGCTTTGACGCCCGTCTGGTGGACCTGCTGTGGCCACAGCCGCCCCTGACATGCATCTCGCACCATGACTCGACACCGGGCCCGCTCAGCTTGGTCGTGGCGGCGTGTGTGAAGGATGCGCGGCCGAGCCGCTGGCTGGCGCCGCTTGAGCGTCCGAGATGGCCGCAGCAGAGGCCACGCGTCGCGCCGCCGGCCAAGCCCAGCCTCTCGGCGGTCGAGTTGGTCGAGCTGGCGGGCGGAGAGCCGCCAAGAGGGCAGCAGCGGAGCGTGAGAGGCCGTGCGAGCTTGCGCTAGCGAAGCGCTAGCGCTTCGGGCGATTTCAATAGGCGGCCTACCTTGGCCTTTAAGGAGTACAATGTAGGACCAGGAAGACGCTGGGGGAACCAGGATGTAGGAAGACGTCTGATCAGAGCTCAGACGCCGTTCACACCGTCTCCCCAACTATCACACTCACACTGACAAGTGTGGGGAGGCAAGGCACTGTGAATCGCCTTATCTCTCACACTCTGGGGAGGATCGAACCATTAACACTAAGAGTCGCTTCACAGCGCGGCGGCGCTGGGGCGCCTGCCGTATCTTAGCCAACACCAATTCGATGCACATTTATGTGCAGATGCTCTCCTTCTTCGCGTTGTGCTGCCTCGCACACTGCGACGCTCTGCGAGCCGGAATGATGCTTTGCGACGTGCCTACGCCAGCGCTCCTGCTTGACTGCACGACAGCGCGGCAGCGTGGTTTGACTGCGGCAGCGCTCAATGCGTGCCTGGGCAGCGGTGACAGTGGCGGCCTCTCCGACCTCGTGTACGTGCACTGCAGCGTGCTTATAGGACGCAAGCCCCGCGACGGCGCGATTGGCTCCACGACAGTGGCAGGCGCCGACTGTCCATCTGCGGCGCCCGACGCCTCGGTCGTGCTGGCCAACCTCGACGCCACGCTCGAGCAGTGTGGCGGCGCGGGCGCTTTCCTTGGGCTCGGCGTGAACAATCACTATACCGGAGGCTACTACTGGGGCCGCTCCTCAGGGCCCGGCGCGGCGATGCCTGCGCCTGGGGTTCGGGTGGCCGTAGGGGCGGCGGGCAGCGTGGCGCTCCTGCGCGTGGCAAACTCGAACGACGGGAAGCGGTCGGAGTGGTGCGAGTTCCTCGCGCCGGGGGACCAGTGCCAGCTCGTCCCCGGCAACGTCGCCGCCGCGCTCGACCGCTTTGGCCCCCCTCGCCAACTGTCCTCCACATGCTTTGCTGGAGGCCTCTCGGAACCCTCTCGGAACCCTCCTCTAGGGACCCTCGTTGGCATCACACGCGACGGAGACCGCGGCGTGCGGGCGGGCGCGGAGATCTAGACACAGGACAGACACCATCCTTTCTCTCGCTTCTCTCGCTTCTGCACACCAGCCGTCCTGGTAGCTCTGGTTTTCCCGCGAAGTTTAGGAGGACGAAGCCGCGCTCCGCAGCCTCGGTGTATGCTGCTTAGGCGCAGAGCCCGTGGTGGAGGCGGCTTGGACGCGCCGAGCGGGTCGCCAAGGTAGTGCAGGCGAGTGGGAGCGGGCGCCCTGGTCCGCGCCGTTTGACGACGCTGAGGGGCGGAGGGAGCCCAAGTCGGCCGCCGACTTTTTTGAGCTGTGGGCCAAGTAAGGTAAGGTAAAAGGGTCCCCAGACCCCAGGCGGCCCTCCTCCAAGAAACAAGAAATCACTGAGCGCCTGACTTCGCTCGGCGTAGAGACGCAGGCGCGGCCGCTGGACCGTCCGCTAAAGCCGTAGCACTTTAGCTGCAGCCTGCAGCTCCACTCCTCGTACCTGCTGCATGGCTCAATATCTCATCACGCGCACACCTCTCTCGCTCACCTCCCCCCCCCCCCCATCCCCTTGGCATCGCATCGCATTGCATCGCGCCGCCTCGCCCCCCCCTCCTCTTCTCTCCTCTCCTCACACTCGTCACTCCTCTCCTCTCCTCTCCTCTGACCTCTCCTCCTCGTCTCGTCCCGTCTGTCCTCTCCTCTCCTCTCCTCGCAGGCCGCGTCCGTCGTTACTATCACGCCGGGGCCAGCAGTCCCGTCGCCTGGGGCTCGGCGTCGGTTGTGCCGCGCGTACCTGGAGCACTTGGAGTGCGCTGATTAGCTCCCCGGCCCTGGGTGTGAGGTTGCCAACTGCACTCCAAGTGCTCCAAGTGAGGAAGGTAACCGGTGGACGGGAAATTCATACGCTTACTTTTGCCTCCACCAACCAATCCCGCAGGTAGGCGCTTCCATTTGATAGCGCATTTGGCGGCTGCTGCTGTAAATCTCTCTCTCTGCTGCTGCGCATCGCCATGAAACTCTCTCTCGCCACATGCCATGACCCATGTGTTTGAGCGTATACATATGAATATCATATGTTTTTGGGTCTCCAAAAAGAAAGAAAGGTAGAAAACATACAACCAAGGGAGGGATGGGTCTGCGTTTGGTTTACTTCTTCCTCCTCATCATCGTCCGAAATCGTCCGAAAACACGATCGACGGGCATACGATTTACCGGAACACCGATCGACGGCTCTCTCGTTTCGTCTTTTGCACAACAATCATGCTGGCTATCGCGTGCCTGACCCTCGCTGCTCCCGTCGAACGTGCTGGCCTCCTGGAGTAACGCGCTGTCGCGAAAGGCTTTTTTAGCTCCATTTCTGTCCAATCGCTCGCAGACCATTCCCACCCATCCATCGAGGGCGGCACACGAGTAGCATACTCGAGTACGACTGACCCGTCTCCGGCCGTGTCTATGCGTTTGTAGGTGCGTTTGGTCCTCGGTGCGCCCGCTCTCGCTGCGTCGCGCGGGAGATGTGGCATCTCTGCTGCGTTCAGAGCGCCGGCCGGAGCTGAAGCCGACGAGTTCTCCGACGAGCAGGAAGCTCAGCAGCTGACGCGTCAGCGCTTTTCATCAGCGACGCGCTGCGCTTTTCCTTCCCTCGCCGGCGCCACCAAGCAGCACCACATCTGAGAGAGAGAGAGAGAGAGAGAGAGAGAGAGAGAGAGAGAGAGAGAGATTTATTTGTTGTTAGAGAGATTTGATGCCACATCTGAGGAATGTGGGAAAACGTGCCTTTGGCTCGCCAGGTGAAAGTCATTTTCCCTGTCGCGTCAACAAACCCAAGTAAAAAGGTCGGCAAAAACGGCGGGCGCCCGCCGGATCGGTTGGGGACAGCGTAAAACATCTGTGATGGCGCCGGCTCGCGCGAACTCGCGGCCACAGGTTTCTGAGCGCCTCGTGTTGATCCCAGCCATCTACAAGAACAGCACGACTGGCTACAAGAACGTGGCCTACGACCGCTGCAGTAAGAAGTTCAAGGCGCAGGTGCGGGATGGCGGCAAGCATGTCCACCTCGGCTACTTGTGCTGGCACCCACATGAAGACCACCGCCTCTAGCTTCGATCTATAATAAGCGATCGCCTCCAGCAGTCCGCCTCTCTCCCAGTCCCTCAGGCCTTCTGGCATCCCTTTGCGGTGCGCATTCTCAATCTGCTGCAGCGCGGGTTTGCAGTCGCATAGCACTAAGCACCGCCGCGCTTGCGCGTCGCTCGCGCTCGCCATTTTGCGTAGGTATGCGAGTATCGCGTACATCTCCGCGTCTATCGGCTCCCACATGTTCGGCAGCTTTCCTCCCCACATTCCCGCCCCAAACGCTATCCGTATCTCCCCTTCTTCACAGGGTCCGATTCCGTTGGGATCCTTTACCTGTGCGTCTCCCGGGACGCTCTTTCCGAATCGTGTCGGTCCTTCGAACACGCCGTACGCCACCCTAGGGTTCGGCACGTACTTTCCATCCTCCGCCCTTTTGTCTTCATGGTCCTTTCCTCCGTCCGTCGCCGCAAAGTGTGTGAACTGGTGTGAGACGTGCAGCGCGAGGCATGTCTGCGCTACTTTCACGTTCAAGGCTCGTCCCTTCCCCGACCGCAGCGGCTCGCTGTCTTTTCCCATCTTAATTCGCTTCCCGTTGCCGTCCGTCAGCTCTCCCCCCGTCTCAAATTCGTCGTATCGGAGCAAGAAGCGCGTTAGGGGGTCCTCCTGTAGCTCCCCTACTCTGATCGCGCTCGCCCCGTGTCCGTGCCCCACGAACAGCTCGTAGTCTTCTTTCTTCCAGTTTATGTGTCTCTGGGGCGCCCCCTCTGGGAACAACGTCTCATCCGCCCCGAGGCTCCCCTCCTGTCGCTCCCTCTCCTGTCTCTCCATCATCTTTCTCACCGCGTCCTTCGTGATCTTATTTTGCTCGGGTATCTCCTCCTCCCATGTCGCGTTGGTATCGAGGCCCGGGGTCCCCTCCAGCTTTATGGTGGCCATGCAGAGTGTGGGGTGGTAT